GAAGGCAACCTTAGTGACGCTGGTCGAATTAGTAGGGCGGAAATTTATTGCTTTCGAGTGGATGTCAAGTGGATTTGATATTAAAGGAAACAAATACTAGGAGAGAGAGAGAGAGAGAGAGAGAGAGAGATATAGAGAGAGAGAGAGATATAGAGATAGAGATAGAGATAGAGATAGAGATAGAGATAGAGAGAAAAAAAGAGAGAGAGAGAGAGATAGAGAGAGATAGAGAGAGAGAGAGATAGAGAGAGAGAGAGAGAGATAGAGAGAAAAAGAGAGAGAGAGAGAAAGAGAGAGAGGGGAACATGAAATGGTAAATGCAGACCATTACTATGTGGGTCACGCCATGCCACATACTGGACTGAACACAAAAGGGACAGTAGAGTAGCTAGTGTTTTTTTCCCCCTTTGGTGTTTACCGTCCTTTTCCGGGACTCTGCAGGCGATGCTTCCCGTCCTTGAGAGCATGCAGGGGAGCGGGTGCGGGCGAGGCGGCAGCGGCGGGCTGTCCCTGAGGAGGCAGTGCCTTCGTCTCCCCGCCATGGTGACCACTCAGTGCCTCGCTCTCTCACCTTACACGCGGACTTGACTACTCCCTCTGTGCTCCCCTTCCCCCTCCTCCTCGCTCCCCTCGCTCACGCACGCTGCACGAACTCCGCTATCCCCTCGTCCTCAACCTGGACCCCCCCCCTCTCCTCGTCCTCGCCCTCGACCCCCCCACTTCGTCCTCGACCTTGATACCTAGCTCGTCCTCGACCTCGTTCTCAACCTTGCTCCTGTCTTCCCCTTGTGCCTCCGAGCCTCCTTCCCTTCCCCGCAGCCCCTTCACACGGCGTCTTCTTTTATGGTCACAGTGTTTTGAAGTTTTCCTTGTGGGTCTTGTGATGTCTTGGTCTTCGTTTGACCCCCCTCTCCCCTTTCCCCTTTCTCTCCTCCCCCTGTAACGTGGTAGCCCTCATTTCCCTCCTCCTCCTCCTCCTCCCCCCCTCCCCTCCTCCTCCCCCTCCCCTGCTCCCCTCGCAGCCCTCTCTTTCCCCCTGCAAAGCCCGCGTATCCGCCTCAAGCCAAGGTCCCCGGCGGGCGGAACGTGAATAGGAATATTCTCGGCGGCGACGACGGAAGGAGCGCAGGATCTTGCGAGGCGTCGGGCGGTCGGGCTGCGGGCGCACGGGCGGCGATGGTGTGTGCTTGTGTTCGAGTCGAGGCGCCCAGGGCGGGTCTCTCCCTCGCCCTAGGCTCGTGATCGGTTGGAGACGTGGAGTTCGAGTGTGTCCTTCGAGTGTGTCCTTCGAGTGTGGCCTTCGAGTGTGGCCTTCGAGTGTGGCCTTCGAGTGGGACCTTCGAGTGTGGCCTTCGAGTGTGGCCTTCGAGTGTGGCCTTCGAGTGTGGCCTTCGAGTGTGGCCTTCGAGTGTGGCCTTCGAGTGTGGCCTTCGAGTGTGGCCTTCGAGTGTGGCCTTCGAGTGTGGCCTTCGAGTGTGGCCTTCGAGTGTGGCCTTCGAGTGTGGCCTTCGAGTGTGGCCTTCGAGTGTGGCCTTCGAGTGTGGCCTTCGAGTGTGGCCTTCGAGTGTGGCCTTCGAGTGTGGCCTTCGAGTGTGGCCTTCGAGTGTGGCCTTCGAGTGTGGCCTTCGAGTGTGGCCTTCGAGTGTGGCCTTCGAGTGTGGCCTTCGAGTGTGGCCTTCGAGTGTGGCCTTCGAGTGTGGCCTTCGAGTGTGGCCTTCGAGTGTGGCCTTCGAGTGTGGCCTTCGAGTGTGGCCTTCGAGTGTGGCCTTCGAGTGTGGCCTTCGAGTGTGGCCTTCGCCTTCGAGTGTGGCCTTCGAGTGTGGCCTTCGAGTGTGGCCTTCGAGTGGGACCTTCGAGTGGGACCTTTGAGTGATTTCGAGCGCTTGGAGAGACGCCCTTTTTATTTCATCTTCGTGGGAGTGCTTCTCCGGAGATGTGCAGCGTGTACTTTTGTGCCGTTAAGTGCTGCTTGTGATTTTGATATTGCAAAAGCGTATTAGTTCATAAGTCTCGCCATGGATAAAGAGGCGTATATTCTGCAAGAGAGAAGGATTTCTTTTCATATGGTGTGTATATGTCCCCCGTTTCAGCGTTTTGGAAGTAATGGAGAGAGAGAAATGAAAATAAAGGTGGAAGAGAAATTCATTTGTGCAAAGAATAAGCGAAACGGGATATCAAAAGCAATCGCAGTCTAAAGTGTAATGTCTCCTTCTCGTTTCGACTTACTCTCGAGCGTGAAAAGGTTGTGAATAGTGGCGACTCGGCCCCTGGAACCCCGAGGCGGTGCTGGGCCTTCAAGAAAGCGAATCAAAGGGGAGGCAAGAACAATGCAAGAAGCACGATGAAAGGCCGCGTGTTAGATCTTTATATACATATATATATATATATATATATATATATATATATATATATATATATATATATATATATATATATATATATATATATATATATATATATATATATAGACACACACACACACACACACACACACACACACACACACACACACACACACACACACACACACACACACACACACACACACACACACACACACACACACACACACACACACATACTCTCTCTCTCTCTCTCTCTCTCTCTCTCTCTCTCTCTCTCTCTCTCTCTCTCTCTCTCTCTCTCTCTCTCTCTCTCTCTCTCACACACTCTCACACTCTCACACTCTCACACTCTCACACTCTCACACTCTCACACTCTCACACTCTCACACTCTCACACTCTCTCACTCTCTCACTCTCTCACTCTCACACACTCTCACTCTCACACTCACACTCTCTCACTCTCTCACTCTCTCACTCTCTCACTCTCTCTCGCACTCACACTCTCACTCACACACTCTCACACTCTCACACTCTCACACTCTTTCACACTCTCTCACTCTCTCACTCACACTCACACACAAACAAAACATGCGTGTACTTTCCGTGGCCAGGACGCGCGTGTTCCCGAGCGGCTCGACCCCGATAGAACAACCATTCAGGGCACAGCAGGAGCAGCAGCGTCGAGGTGGCCCGGCGTCCGCTGTCGAAAGTATAAGTCAAGGGGACGGATGCATTCTTCGGGGAAATTCTTTTTCGGTGAAGGTGACAGGGCCATTGAGAACGCCATCATTGTTGTGGTGGAAAGAACCCGTTTCTGGCACGGGAGCCGTTTCCTAGTGCTGCTTGTTTGAGTGTGGGGGCGGTTGGGTGCGTAAATGAGTGAGTGAGTGTGTGTGAGTGTATGAGTGTGTGAGTGTATGAGTGTGTGAGTGTATGAGTGTGTGAGTGTATGAGTGTGTGAGTGTATGAGTGTATGAGTGTGTGAGTGTATGAGTGTGTGAGTGTATGAGTGTGTGAGTGTATGAGTGTGTGAGTGTATGAGTGTATGAGTGTATGAGTGTATGAGTGTATGAGTGTGTGAGTGTGTGAGTGTATGAGTGTATGAGTGTGTGAGTGTGAGTGTATGTGTATGTGTATGTGTATGTGTGTGTGTGTGTGTGTATGAGAGAGAGTAAAGGGGAAGTAGAGAAGGGCTGTGGAATTATTTAAATAAAGAGGCATAATGTAATATACAGTTAGCACAGCTCGTGTATGCATCTTCTCTGAATGTATGCAAATTTCTCTCCATCCCTTGCCTCCCCCACCCATCTCTTCCCTCCTTCCTTCCCTTCCCGGTTGCCAGTCTGCATTTTAGAAAATCCTTCGAGACGATAAAAAACCATAAACAGTGCACGAACGTTAATTGGTATTTCTTATTCCCCCCCTCCCCCCCCCCCCCCCTTCACTGATTGTCAAGCTTATCGTCATGGCTTCATTTCCTTTCTGTTCTGGGATGCACGGAAGTTTGGTCTCGCTGCTTCTGTTTATCCCCTGAGAACACGCGCCCGATGTCCCTGGAGCCGGAACACGGGGCGGCCAACGTGACAGAACGCATGAGCTGGTTGTTTGGAAGGAACTGGTTTGTGTTGATGTGCTTGTGTGGGTTTGTTTGTGCTTGTGCTTGTTTCTTCTTCTTCTTTTCCTCCTTCTTCCTTTTCCATTCCTGTGCTTGTTTCTTCTTCTTCTTCTCCTCCTCCTCCTCCTCCTCCTCCTCCTCCTCCTCCTCCTCCTCCTCCTCCTCCTCCTCCTCCTCCTCCTCCTCCTCCTCCTCCTCCTCCTCCTCCTCTTCCTTCTCCTTTTTTCCTTTATTGTGCTTGTTTGCGTGCGCAAATTTGTTTGCTTGTATTTTATTATGCGTGTGTGAATTTTTTTTTAGCCTTGATTACGCAACGGGTTGATTGTGTTCGGCTCATTCGTATTTTTTCGATGCAACATTTTTAGCCCTTCTTAAGGCTGTTATTGCGTCAGGAATATGTGATTAAGTGTAAAGTGCACGGAAAAAAATGTGGTAGTTTTGCAGAGAGTTCCCTTTTCTCTCTTATTCATTGTTTTCCTTTTCTTTTTACTGACTGTGTTTGTGAAATATTCGGAAAAATCTTTGGAAAAAAAATCGACTGTTTCGTCGGTTCAACCCTTATGCTCAACGATGCCATGGATACGGTGTCACAAACCATACCCTCGTACCCACGGTGATGCCTCCTGCCCCAACGGCCCCTGTTGATACCCACGTGATGTCTTGCCTCTCATCCTCCACTGCCCAACCCCACCCGCCCCTCCTGGCTCGTGCCCACGACGCCGTGCCCGCCGCGTGAATACGGTCTGGCCCAACTTGTGCCCAACACGCTGGCGTAAACAGAGGACTTACACGCTGTCGCTGCGCGGCGGATGGGCGCCCACCGTGGGCTGCGGCGGGGAGGTGGTGCGGCTCGGAGCTGGGTCCTCCATCACGCGCATCAATGGCCACACCATGGCCCTTCCCACGCCCATCCCGCACGCCTGGGGGCACGCCGAAGTGTACCAGGAGGTAGGATCTCTCTCGCTCTCGCTCTCTCTCTCTCTCTCTCTCTCTCTCTCTCTCTCTCTCTCTCTCTCTCTCTCTCTCTCTCTCTCTCTCTCTCTCTCTCTCTCTCTCTCTCTCTCTCTCTTTCTCCTCCTCCTCTTCCTCTTCCCTTCCTCTCCTCTCCCTCCCTCTCCCTCTCCCTCTCCCTCTCCCTCTCCCTCTCCCTCTCCCTCTCCCTCTCTTCCTCCCTCACCCTCACCCTCTCCCTTTCCTTCTCCCTCTCCCTCTCCTACTGCAATAAGTTTATCAAATCAAATCAAATCAAATCAAGTCCCACTCCCACTCTGTTGGGCGCCCTTGCCAGTGGCACATGATCCAGGTGCGAGGGCGTCCTGGTTATATACAGTAGATCAGGTGAAGGTGAAGTGAAGGTGAATGTTTATTTTTTGCCGGATTTATCAATCACTTTTTATCGCCATTATCAATAACAACGTAAAATGGAAATCTAGCTTCGTGCCATCTCTTGATTTTCTAGAAGTGTGACGTCGAGGCAAGAATTAGCCGACCATGAAGACAATGGTAGTGATATTACTGACACACTTGGGGGATTTTTATGGCCCTCCAGTTATGAAAAAGAAAGATTATTGCAGGCCGAGATAGCATGGCAACCTCACGACGATTATCAACGAAGGAAATTAAACTGCGTTATTGTCTTGCAGGGAATTCGCGTTTCGAGTAATTTGAAACTGGATATTCATTAGCGGTGTTTCCAGTATATTGTTATTGTTTTTTTATATATATATATAAAATGATGAAGGGTGTAAGCAGTAGCGATCATTTATTCTTTTGTGATTAATGTTTCTGAATGGTTTCTTTTACAATGGAGGTTTATTTTTTTTATTCGAGACTGATGGAGTGGTAGATGCAAACGAAGGCTGAGGATACTGGCAAAAAAGGGAAAATAATGTATAATTCTAATTTTTTGGTTGGTATTTGTCGACGTAATTAAGGACGGGGTGTAATAGTATCTTGGGGACAAATCAGGCACTCCTGGCCTCCTCCATACCCCTATCCTCCCCTCCCCCTCTCTCCTCTCCACCTTGTCCCAGCCTTCTCCCCTCTTTGTTACCACTCTTCCTCGCTTCCTTCTTCTCCTCCTCCTCATTCTTCTCCTCTTTCTCCTCTTTCTCCTTTTTCTCCTTCTCCTCCTCCTCCTCCTCCTCCTCCTTCTCCTTCTTCTCCTTCTCCTTCTTCTTCTCCTTCTCCTTCTTCTCCTTCTTCTCCTTCTTCTCCTTCTTCTCCTTCTTCTCCTTCTTCTCCTTCTTCTCCTTCTTCTCCTCCTCCTCCTCCTCCTCCTCCTCCTCCTCCTCCTCCTCCTCCTCCTCCTTCTCCTCCTCCTCCTCCTCTCCATCTCCATCTAATTTCTCTTCCTTTTTCGTTTCTCCCTCTCCTCTGCCTGTTTCCCTCTTCCAATTCTCCGCTCCCCTTCTCTCATTCCCTTCTTCCTCTCCTCCCTTTCTCGTCCCTTCTCCCCCCCCCTCTCATATTCTTTCCACACGCCTAGTCACCCGACTGACTCATTACAAACGATAATTATCCATGATTATAACTTCAGAAATCAAGAAGTTCGAAGGTGATAAGTTTAGTAACCGTCTTTCCTAGAACTCCTGCGAGGGCGCTGATGCAGTTTACTTTTTTTATTATTATTTTATCTATTTTTTTATTTTTTTTTATTTTTTGCCTTTTGTTTTTTTGTTTTTTGTTTTTTTTGTTCTTCTCTTCAGGATATCTGTCTCACGCATGGAAAGTTGTGGAGCCTTTTCTTTTCGATCTGTCTTTCAAGTGACGCGAAGTTTGGATATAAATTTGCTGTCGTTTTTTTTTCCCTCCGTCGTTTTATTTATTTATTTTTTTCCCAGATAGGATGTCCCTGCCCTTAATACTGTACGTTCGGGTCGGATAGTCACTAAGGGGAAGGGAAGAAGAGGGAGAGGGAGGGAGGGAGGAGGTGGAGGTAGGTGGAGGGAGGGAGGGAGGGAGGGAGGAGGTGGAGGTAGGGAGAGTGGGAGGGAGGGAGGTAGGTGTACGGAAGGGGAGGGAGTAGAGGAAGGAAAGGGAGGAGAGGGAAAAAGAGAGAGGGAGCGAGGAGAGGAGAGGGGGAGAGAAAAGGCGGAAAAAATAATACACAAAAGGAGACTATGAGAAAAACAAATATTCAGACAGGCAGAGACAGGCAGAGACAGACACACACACAGACAGGCAGAGACAGACACACACACAGACAGGCAGAGACAGACACACACACAGACAGGCAGAGACAGACACACACACAGACAGGCAGAGACAGACACACACACAGACAGGCAGAGACAGACACACACACAGACAGGCAGAGACAGACACACACACAGACAGGCAGAGACAGACACACACACAGACAGGCAGAGACAGACACACACACAGACAGGCAGAGACAGACACACACACAGACAGGCAGAGACACACACACACACACAGGCAGAGACACACACACACACAGACATACAGATACAGACAGATAGACAGACAGACAGAGGAGCGCAACGTCACCGCCCTCTCAGATCGGAGCTAATTAACGGCCCCTCAAGTAGATTTCTGCGGAAGGCTTCGCGAAGAGCCGAATCGAGTTGCAAAGTCGTGTCTTGCGAGATCCGCTTACCAGCTGATTTCTGGACCACGAGCGCTAGGATGGATGGATAGATAGATGGATGGATAGAAGGATGGTCAGGTGGTAGGCCGTGATTGAATGATGGATATACGAGTAAATATTGTGATCTGTGCGGGTAATTGGCTCAATCATATTTCCGTCGAAGTATTTATATATGCATTCGATTTCTTCATTTGCATATTATATCCCCATTCATTTTTTATACGGTTTACTCACGTTCATACTTTCATGTATCTATTTACATAACAATCTGCGGGGGAAAAAAACGAAAAAAAAACAAAAAAAAAACGAATGAACGGACGAGCGAGGGCAGGGAGTCGGGATACCCACCTGCGGAAAAAGTGGGAACAATTTACTCCTGGAGGTAGGGCTGTGGTGGGGCTGTGGTGGGGCTGTGGTGGGGCTGTGGTGGGGCTGTGGTGGGGCTGCGGTGGGAAGGGCGTTGGGGAAGGAGCGGGAACGGCGGACATGGCAACTGTTCAACGGTGGAATTAACAGGAATATCGTTGTGGTGGCGGTAAGGTGAGGAGAGAAAGAATGGGAAATAATGAGGTGCATAGATAATGGATGATGATGATGATAATGAAGTAGATTAAAATTAAATAGTGATCATTAAACAGCAGGGAGAAAGGAGGAAGACTAAGAAAAAAACAACAGCATCGGAACAACGAAGATAGCAATAACAACAAGAGCAACGGAAATAGAGATTCCATATAGATTGATGAACGAGAGATAACGATAGTCGCTGTAAAACGGGAAATTAATGGAATAGAGTGAAACTATTTTAGGATTCTGCGTGAGATTAGACTTTGCAGGAAATTAAAAACTCGTGTCGTGAAATAAGCTTCATGTCCAGAATATATTAGACTTTTTCAAGCCTATATATTTTTTTTTCTCCTTCTGCATGGCAACGGTTCACCGGTTCAAGTTTAAATTAGGTCTTGTGCAGCAGCTAAACAACAACAACAACAACAACAACAACAGTAACAGTGATATTAATGGTAAATATAATGAGGGTAGCAGGAACTGTCATTAAGATGATAATGCAGAGAGTTTATTATCATAACAACGATGGTCGTGGCCATTTTGCGGCGTCATTGCAAAGCATTTTGATGCAGTCATGAATAACGGACAATTGTTTCTGTGGGTAAATGAGAGAAAAACTCGTAGTGGCAGTAATGAGTATATTTGTTTTTATTCTCCCCTTTTTCGAATTTCATCCTTATTTATTCTTATTCGCCCTCTTATTTGTTTTCACCTCCTTACCCTCCCCCCCATTCCTCAAGCTCTTCCTCTTCCACTGGGTCTTCCTTTTCCTCCTCTTCTTCCATTCCTTTTTTCTTCTTCCATTCCTTTTTTCTTCTTCCTCCTCTTTTTTCCTTCCTCTTCTTCTTCTTCCTTTTCTTCGTCTTCCTCTTCTTCCTCTTTTCTTCCTCCTCCTCCTCCTCCTCCTCCTCCTCCTCCTCCTTCTCCTCCTCCTTCTCCTCCTCCTTCTCCTCCTCCTTCTCCTCCTCCTTCTCCTCCTTCATCTCCTCAACCCTCATCTCTAGCCCCTCCTAAGCCTACCTCATTAATATTATGCAACGTGATGATTTTAGCCATTTCTCTTTTAAAAATCTAAGCCTGCTGGAAATGCAGAAGCTTATGTTGCAAGCAATTACATGCGAACATCTCTCTTGTATCATATCTGTTTCTGTTTGTCTGCTCTCTCTCTCTCTCTCTCTCTCTCTCTCTCTCTCTCTCTCTCTCTCTCTCTCTCTCTCTCTCTCTCTCTCTCTCTCTCTCTCTCTCTCTCTCTCTCGGCCTCTCCCTCCCTCCCTCCCTCCCTCCCTCCCTCCCTCCCTCCCTCCCTCCCTCCCTCCCTCCCTCCCTCCTTTTCTCCCTCCCTCACTCCCACCCTCCTTCTTTCCTTCCTCCCTCCTTCCCTCCCTCCTCTCCTTCCATCCCTCCCTCCTTCCTTCCATTCTTCCTTCCTTCCTTCCTCCCTCCCTCCCTGGAAATGATACATCAGTGTGTGCTTTCACTCCGTAGGACAGACTTGTAAAATACCTAGGTTTATTGATGACAACCTGGATCGTAGGCCAGAAAAGTCGATTGAAAAATTACTTACAGAATTGCCTCGGTGAGATTTGGGGTCTCTCCCCAGCTGACCTGTCTGCTCACCTTTCCATTGGACACCAGGGAGATTTTTTGTTTTTATTTTCTCCCTTTCTCTGTTTCACACGCACACGCACACGCACACGCACACGCACACGCAAACACACACACACACACGCACACACACGCAAACACACACGCGCACACACGCAAACACACACACACACACACACACGCACACGCACACGCACACGCACACGCGCACACACGCGCACACACACACACACACACACACACACACACACACACACACACACACACACACACACACACACACACACACACACACACACACACACACACATACATACATACATAAAATCTCACCCACTTTCTCTCGTCCCCCATCTCTCTCTTTCCGCCGTAGATTGGAAAATCTAAATGATTGCATTGATTTTGTCAGGTGTGACTCCGGTATTGAATTTATACAGGGGAGATAAGACGTAAGAGTGAATGGGGAGTGAGTGAACGAATAGTGAGTGAATGAATAGCGGCGAGTGGGCGAATAGCGGCGAGTGGGCGAATAGCGGCGAGTGGGCGAATAGCGGCGAGTGGGCGAATAGCGGCGAGTGAACGATTAGCGAGTGGACGTTAATTCCCTGTATAAAGTGGAGAGGAGAGCTTGAGAGTGAGTGCGTGTAAGAGTGCAAATGAGAGTGCCAGAGTGAATAATGTATTTAAAGCGTCGTCCGAGCAAGAAAAGAAGACTTCTATTTTTTCCCCCATTTATCCTTTTTTGGCTCATTCCCCCCCCCCCCCCCCGTCTGTATTGTGTGTACGAACATGTTTTTTTTTTCTTATATACACCACAGACGTTTTTTTTTTTTTCGTTTTGACATGCAGCGCCTACGTAATTTTTCTCCAGGCCGTTGGTTGAGGGAAATTAACAACGGCGAGATTTTGCAGCCATTGGTACAAAAACTCGCCCTTTTGAGCTGCTTTCTGAACGTCATGGTGCGGGGTGGGGGTGGGGGGGAAGGGGGGTGCGTTGAGGGGAGGGGAGCAGAGGAGGGGGGTAAGGGGGAGAGGGGGGATTGAGGAGGGGTGGGGAGACGGAGGGGGAAGGGAGGGAGGGAGGGAAGGAAGGAAGAGGGGCATAGGGAGGATGGGAGGGAGGGAGGGAGGGAGGGAGGGAGGGAGGGAGGGAGGGAGGGAGGGAGGGAGGGAGGGAGGGAGGGAGGGAGGGAGGGAGGGAGGGAGGGAGGGAGGGAGGGAGGGAGGGAGGGAGGGAGGGAGGGAGGGAGGGAGGGAGGGAGGGAGGGAGGGAGGGAGGGAGGGAGGGAGGGAGGGAGGGAGGGAGGGAGGGAGGGAGGGAGGGAGGGAGGGAGGGAGGGAGGGAGGGAGGGAGGGAGGGAGGGAGGGAGGGAGGGAGGGAGGGAGGGAGGGAGGGAGGGAGGGAGGGAGGGAGGGAGGGAGGGAGGGAGGGAGGGAGGGAGGGAGGGAGGGAGGGAGGGAGGGAGGGAGGGAGGGAGGGAGGGAGGGAGGGAGGGAGGGAGGGAGGGAGGGAGGGAGGGAGGGAGGGAGGGAGGGAGGGAGGGAGGGAGGGAGGGAGGGAGGGAGGGAGGGAGGGAGGGAGGGAGGGAGGGAGGGAGGGAGGGAGGGAGGGAGGGACGGAGAGAGGCAGAGGAAGGGTGAGGACGGGTAGGGGCGGGATGCTGTGGGGGGTGGGGGGATGCTGTGGGGGGAGGGGGATGCTGCGGGCGGGGGGAGGGGGATGCTGTGGGAGAAGGGGGATGCTGTGGGGGGGAGGGGGGATGCTGTGGGGGGGAGGGGGGATGCTGGGTTGCATGTGGTGCAAGGTTGGCTGTACCTGGAAAGCAAAGGAGGCGCACTGCAGCGTTGCTCCGAGGTGATGCCGAGACGGGCTCCTTTGCTCGGGCTTGTCGGGTCGCCGTTTTTAAATGGGGTCTTGAGGGATTTTTTCGTGTTTTTACTTTTTGTTTTTGTTTGGCATCTTTTTTTTCTCTTTTGTTTCTTTTTTCCTACTTATTTTCTTTCTTTTCATGTTATGTATACATATGTATATATGTATATATGTATATATGTATATATGTATATATGTATATATGTATATATGTATATATGTATATATGTATACACACACACACACACACACACACACACACACACACACACACACACACACACACACACACACACACACACACACACACACACACACACACACACACATACACATGCACACACAATAATATACACTTATACACATATATTCTTCTTATTGTTGTTGTTGTTGTTATTATTATTGTTCACCAACATCATCGCCCTTGCTTCTTCATTTTCATTATCTGCCTGTCTCTCTCCTTCTCCTCCTCCTTTTCTTTTTTCCTCTTCTCTTTCGCTTCCCATTCCTATTCCAATTCCTGTGCTATTACTCTTATTCTTCCTCTTCCTCTTCCTCTTCCTCTTCCTCTTCCGTCCAAGCGACCAACTGACTTTCTGACTGTCTAATGTGAGTGGATAATGTGACCGACAAATATGACTGACAGAGTGACTGATTAGCTGACTGACTTACTAACTTGCCGACTGACTTGCCGACTGACTTACTAACTGGCTGACTGACCGGCCCGAGGCGACGTAGGAGGCCGGCGGGGCCCGACCTTGCGGGAAGAGAAATTATCGCCGGATCTGTGGTGGCATTAGAGAGCCGCCGGTGCCGCGTCATCGGTCATTGGAGCTGGGGGCTGGATTTTCTGGCGGGGCAGGTGGGGGAGGGGCGAGGGAAGGGGGGGGAGGGGAGGGGCGAGTGATGATCTCGTTTCCGCTGTTTTGTTTGTGGTCAATTTTGCCACGGTTGTATATATGTATGTATATATATATATGTATGTATATATATATATATATATATATATATATATATATATATATATATATATATATATATATATATGTATGTATGTATATATACTTGCATATATAAATATGCAAGTATATGTATATGTGTATATATATTTATACATATATATATGTATATGTACATTTATATGCGTATATATATGTTTATGTATATGTATATGTATATGTATCTGTTAGTACACGTATACACCTACATATACATATATGTATACACAAGCATTCACATGCATGTATATATATATCATACATACATACATACATACATACATACATACATACATACATACATACATACATGCATACATACATACATACATACATACATACATACATACATACATACATACATACATACATACATACATACATGTATATATATATATATATATATATATATATATATATATATATATATATATATATATATATATATATATATATATATTGTATGTGTGTGAGGGATAAAATTCCTCGGAAATCGCGTAAACCTTTTCTAACATTTTTCCTTGTCTCTCCAGGGCGAACTAGCAGTGCCCGGAGGCGGCGGCAAGTCCCGGCGCCGATACAGGAGCAGGTCGCTGTCCCAGTCTTCCACGGACTCTTACTCCACCTGTAAGTGTACTTTCTGTTTTGCTTTTGTTTTGTTTATGGATTGGCCCGTGTGAGTGCTTGGGGTCACTACTCTTCTCGTGCGCTCTCTTGTGTTTGAGTCTGGTATTGGTGTTTCGGTTTATCGGTCCACAGTAGTTTATCGCGTTTTCCTTCATCGTGGTATTTTTTTTAACGTGGAGGCTGATGTACAACCAGCCCCTTGTATTCACGTGGTAAATAATAATTAAAAAAGGAAGAAAGGAAGATATAAAGAAAGAGAGAAACAGAAAGACTGAAAGAGAGAAAAAAGAAAGCAGACGAGTAAGCAAGCATGCCATTTCGGGCCTTGCTTGGATTTTTTTTATGAGAGTGTATGTGCGTCTGTGCTTGTGCATGTGAAGACAGGACCATGCTGCATGTTGAAAGTGCACCGTTGAAGGCGCATGCTTGAAGGCCTATGTTGTGTGTGGCGCATGGCCTCTCGGTAAGTGTATGTGCGGGGTAAGCTCACCTAAGCTCTTTTTAATTGCTTGGTATAGCCGACCAGGAGAAGAGGATCAAGCTGATTAAAACGAAGTAGAAAAGGCAGAATCAAATTTGGCCTCGGCAGCGTTGCAGGGCATCTGCATAGTTGCATGGCCCTTCAATTTCTTGGGCTTTTCTCGCGGTGTTTTTGGGTGGCATGGGCGGCGCTCCCGTCAGACTAAATAGGTGTTGTTATTGATTTAGTGCAGAGCGCCACGTGCAAAGGTCTTGCAGATTTATGGCACGCGCAGGTATGTATTCGTTCCATTGCGTGTGTTGCTGAATCATAGTGTATTTGTACGAGGAATCTGACGTTGCAGAAGGAATTGAGTGGTTAGTGAATGTGACAGCTATATATTTTTTTATATTTCTTTATATGTGTCATATATATATATATATATATATATATATATATATATATATATATATATATATATATATATATATATATATATATATATATATATATATATATATATAATATATATAATATATATTGTCGGTGGAATGAGATGAGACTACTTAAAAAGGTGTGATTCTTATACGCCCCTAGAGTTGAGAATGATTGTGTGGGAGTGTGTGTTTGTATTAACGAGGGAATGTGATGGAATGTGAAGGGGAAATAGAGTGAGGAAAAGGTTTGCGTTGCGTCATCCGTCGGCGTCATAGTCAGCACTTCGTCACGATGACTTCCTTCAAATCCGCAGCCATCAACTTAGTATATTCACGATCATTTTTACCTGAAGTTACCACCATCACTTCCTCCAGTATCAGTTGATGTAACTATCTTCACCATCACCATCACTTTCTTCATCATCGTTTAAGGTCGTTGCAACCAGCATTATGTCGCTACTATCACTTCCTTCACTATCATTTGACGTAGCCACCTTCACCATCATCATTGCTTCACCCTCTTGGACGTCACTACCTTCACCATCACCATCGATTCATTCACCATTACCTTCACCACCGCCCTCTTCGATTCACCATCATTTGACGTCGCCATCTGCACCATCAGCATCACTCTCTTCACCGCAAATTGTCGCTGACTTTACTATTACGACCACCACCACTTCCCTCACCATCGCTGACGTCACCACCCTCCTCCCTCACCATCCTTTCCTCCGCCATTACCGCTTCCGCTGTTCACGTATCGCCGCTGATGATTTGAACGCGAGGAGGATGACGTAACCGAGCCTAAGAAAGCGAGCCGGCACAAAATGCTCTCAGGCGATGCGGGGGGGGTTTTAGATGTCAAAATATCTCTGTATTGGCCTCAAGACGGCTTCCATTTGCCGCGTTTCCCCGAGAGGGAGGTGGGGAGGGGAGGAACGGGAAGGGGTAGGGAGGGGAGGGAATGGGAAGGGGTAGGGAGGGGAGGGGTGGGGTGGGGTGAAGTGGGGAGGGGAGTGGAGGGAAGACAAGGGAAGGGAAGACAAGGGAAGGGAAGGGAAGGGAAGGGAAGGGGAGGGGATGGGAAAAGAAGGGAAGGGGAGGGGATGGGAAAAGAAGGGAAGGGAAGGGAAGGGAAGGGAAGAGGAGGGGGAAAGAAGGGAAAGGAAGGGAAGGGAAGGGAATGGAATGGAATGGAAGGGAATGGAATGGAATCGAATGGAATGGAAGGGAAGGGAAGGGAAGGGAAGGGGAGGGGAGGGATGGGAAGGGATGAGGATAGATGGGAAGGGATGAGGATAGATGGGAAGGGGTGGGGAGGGAAAAGGAAGGGAAGGGAAGGGGAGGGGAGGGGAGGGGAGGGGAGGGGAGGGGAAAAGAAGGGAAGGGAAGGGGAGGGGAAAAGAAGGGAAGGGGAGGGGAGGGGAGGGGAGGGGAAAAGAAGGGAAGGGAAGGGAAGGGAAGGGGAGGGGAAAAGAAGGGGAGGGGAGGGGAGGGGAAAAGAAGGGAAGGGGAGGGGAGGGAAGGGAAGGGGAGGGGAAAAGAAGGGAAGGGGAGGGGAAGGGAAGGGAAGGGAAGGGAATGGAATGGAATGGAAGTGGAGGGGAGGGATAAGGATGGATGGGAAGGGATAAGGATGGATGGGAAGGGATAGGGAGGTATGGGAAGGGATGGGGAGGGGAATGGAAGGGGTATAGAGGAAGACGGAGGGAGGGAGGGAGTAGGTAAAGGGAGGTAGGGGTGTCGGAGAAAGAAGGAAAGAAAGAAAGAAAAATAAATAAAGAAATAAAGGACAGAAGGAAAGGACAGAAGGAAAGGACAGAAGGAAAGGACAGAAGGAAAGGACTGAAGGAAAGGACAGAAGGAAAGGACAGAAGGAAAGGACAGAAGGAAAGAAAGAAAGAAAGAAAGAAAGAAAGAAAGAAAAAGAAAGAAAAAGAAAGAAAGAAAGAAAGAAAGAAAGAAAGAAAGAAAGAAAGAAAGAAAGAAAGAAAGAAAGAAAGAAAGAAAGAAAGAAAGAAAGAAAAAGGAGGAGGAGGAGAAGAAGAAGAAGGAGGGGGAGGGGAGAGTGAGGGTGAGATACGCCACCTTGATTTACGCTGCAAGACAATGTCCAAAAAGTAGAATATATGTTGTGATGCTGTCAGCGAGTGGGAGTGAGAACTCGGGCTCTTAAGGGAACGGAGGAGAGATGGGAGAAAGAAAGAGGCAAAAAGTGAGAGAATGAGAGTGAGAGGCAGGGCGGATGATTGTGAGGGTGTGAGTAAGAGGCAGTGCGGATGATTGTGAGAGTGTGAGTGAGAGTGCGGAAGTGTGTGTGTAAAAGTGAGAGTGAGAATGCGG